ATTTTCCTGTTTTTTTTTTTTTCTTGGTAGTTGTCCTCATTTGCCAAATGATCTCTCTGGTTCCCTGTCTATAATCTTATAGGCTTATTTACCTTGGATATTTCCATAACTGGATCGGTTTCTGGGTTATGTCATCATGTGTGTTAATGATTGGCTGTTATTTGCTGTTAATGGTTCTCTGTCCAAAGGACTCCTTTTAGCATCTCTTGTAAGGTTGGTCTAGTTTTAACAAATACCCTTAATTTCTGCTTATCTGGAAATGTCCTAATTTCACAATTATATTTGAGGGACAGTTTTGCCAGGTATTTAAGTTTTGGTTGGAATTTTTTTTCTTTCAGGGTTTTATATATACCATCTTATTGCCTTCTCACCTGCATGGTTTCTGCCAAGAAATCAGAGCTTAGTCTTATTGGTTGCCCTTTGTAGGTAATTTTTCATTTTTCTTGTGCTGCTTTCAGGGTTCTTTCTTTGGCTTTGGTTTTGGAGAGTGTGAATGATGATATGTTTTGGTGATTTTCTTCTTGGGTGTATACTGCTGGGGGTTCATTGGACTTCTTGAATGGATATATTCTTGTCTTTCATCATATCAGGGAAATTCTCTTCCAACAAATCTTGGACAATTTTCTCTGTGGTTTTATTTGTCTCTTCTTGTTCTGGAATTCCAATTACATGTAGGTTATTCCGTTTGATGGTATCCCACATGGACCTTCATTTTGTTTTGGTCTTTTGTCTGACTGACCCCTTTCCAAAGACGTATTGAGGTATTTGTCTTCAACCTCACTAATTCTGTCTTCCTTTGATTCAATTCTACTCCTTTGCCCTTTCAATGTGTTGTCTATTTCTGAAAATTTAGTACTAATCTTCTGGATTTCTATCTGTAGATTTAGAATCATTTCTAATTTTTCACTTATTTTGTCGTTTTGTTCTTGTATTTTCTTCCAAGATTCTTCTAGGGTTTTGTCTGTGTTTTCCTTGGTCTGTCTCTCAATCCTTTGAAGATACCTAAATATAATTCTTTTGAATTCCTTATCAGCGAGTTCCAATGCTGCGTCTTCCTCGGGGATGTGTTTTGGGTCTGTATCCTGGTCCCTTTTTTCTCCTGCTTTATCTTGCTTCTTTGTGTGGACTGTGATGGCCTGTTGTCTCCAAGACATTATGATGCTTTTGTGTTTATATTTAATTGCTGATTGTGTGTTGGAGAGATTTGCCCAAGATTTTCATTTGTTTTGTTTGTATTATCTGAATAAGCAGGGTATTGGGCTCCTCTGTTCATTAGTTGGCAGCACTTATGCACTCAACACCTACCTCCTTTTCAGTCATCCAGGTCCCTGGAATCCGTATGAGAATGCTGTCACTTTAAATATCCAAAATGGCACCACTTGTAAACATTCAAAATGGCTTTGCCCTCTAGACAGCTCAGTTTGTCTCCTTCTTTGCTGTTTCTCTTTTTAGTCATCAGCCACCAGCCCAGTCATCCATGCAGCCCTTGGTGAGCAGGGCTCATTTTTAGGTTAATTCCCAGGTCCTAACACCACTTGTAACTATTCAGACTGCCCGTCCCGTAGGATAGCTAACAGTCCACAGCTCTGTTTGTCTCATTACTCACTGTTTTCATTCAGGTTCTTCTACTAGTTGGTGTTTAATCCACTTCTATATCCTTCCTTTCAAAGCTCAGGGCTCTAAGATTATCTTCTGTATCTGTTGTCAATTGGTTTCTCTTTTCTCTGTTGAAGTGGGTCTGTGTAGCTTGTCCACCTATTCCACCATCTTATCCGAAGGTCTTTTTTACTTTTTCTACAATGCCACCCCCTTTGACTTTTACTGTGGTGGAAATACACAAAACAAAACATCCCATCTCAACAATTTCTATATGCACAATGCAGTGACGTTGATGACATTCTTCCATTTTATTAAAGAACAAGGTGTACATAGGAAAGTGCACATAGCATGAGTGTACAGACCACCACCTGAACGCACCTTTACAACCAGTACTCAGATCAAGGAAAAAGCACATGATTAGGATCCCCATCTCCACCCCCAGCAAAGGCCTTTTTCCTTTTCATACCCTGCCTCCAACCTCTTGCCCATTGTTTTCTTTTTATTGTGGTAAAATATATGTCACAAAGCATTTGCTAATTTATGGTACAATTCAGTGACATTAGTTATGGTCACCATGCTGGGCTACTACCGTTATTATCCATTTCCAAATTTTTTCATCCCTCCTTAACAGAAACAGGGGCAGATCATTTCAGAGGTGGGACCCTCCTGGGCACTGTGGGGTGCTGAGCAGCATCTCTGGTCTCCACCCCATTGTGACAACCACAAAAGTCTGCAGACATGGCCACCCTCTCCTGGGGGCAGAACCTCCCTAGGTGTAGAGAGAACCCTGCTAGACCTGCCAACAACAGGCAGGGTCTCTTCTCTTGGTTAATGATGCTGCTTCTATTTTACTCTAAAACATCCTGAGGTCCAGGCTCCCATGAAGTTATCTTGTTACATTTGGTTGTTTTCCCGTTCCAACTTTTTTTTTTTTTTTAAGTTGTGGTAAAATATTGTAACATAAAATTTGAGTGTACAAGGAAGGAGTCCTGGTGGTATCAGTGGTTAAAGTGCTTGGGAGCTAACCTAAAGATTGGCGGTTTAAACCCAGCAGCTGCTCCATGAGAGAAAGATGTTCCAATGCTGGCTTTGGTAAAGACTAACAGCCTTGGAAACTCTCTGCAACAGTTACACTCTGTCCTCTAGGGGCGCTGTGAGTCAGAACCAACTCGCTGGCAGTGGGTTGGGTTTGGGCTTTGCTTCTGTGAAGATTGACAGCCTGGGAAACCTTATGGGCTAGTTCTACTGTCCTAAGGGTGGCTATGAGTCAGAGTGTACAATCCTGTGACATTAACTTCATTCAGAATGTCTTGTAACCATCACCATCTATTTCTAGATCTTTTTTTTTTTTTTTTAATCATCCCATACAGAAACTTTGTATCCATTACACAATAACTCATTATCTGCCCACCCCAGTCCTTGGTGGCCTCAATCCTACTTCCTGTCTCTATGAATCAGCCTCCTCTAGACTTTTCATAGAAGTGGGATCCTACAATACCTGTCTTTTTCTGACTTGCTTCTTCAACTTAGCACAATGTCTTCAAGGTCCCTCCATGTTGTAGCTTGTATCAGAATTTCACAACATAATTACTATCTGGTCCTTTACCATCCCCATGATTGGTAATGGATTCTGATCCAGAGGTTTTTTGTTTTTATATATATATATATATAATTTGTTTTTCATTGTTGTTGAGAATATCCACAGTAGAACATATACCAATTCAACAGTTTCTGTGTACAATTCAGTGACGTGGATGACGTTCAAGTTATGCCACCATTTTCATTCTCCTTTTCCGAATTTGTGGTAGTTAAATTTGTGTGTCAACTTGGCTGGGCCTGGTTGAGTGGTTGGGCAGCTGGTGGTAGTTATTCCCCATGAGGAGCCTGGCAATCAGCCCCATGGTAGGATCTACCACAAGCAGCTGAGTAGCTGCCTTTGGGATGTGGTCTGCTTCCTGTATATAAGGAGAAGCCTTGG